TGTAATTAGAGATCGTCCTAAGAGAGCTGCCGCCATTGAAGCGAGAGACAAGATCATTGCGAGATTGTACTGAAATTAACCAAGTACTAAGTTTATTATTGATGTGTGTATTACTTATTATTATTGTGTAGTGTAATTATGTGGGTTGACTGAGTAGTCAACGGTGGGGAGGATGTCGTGAATTAAATGTATTATCATTTATTATTCATAGTTAATTTGTGTGTGGTACTGCGCATGCTCAGTACTTATTATTGATTTTGAGAAGAAGAGAAGTTTTTAGACAGTTGTCAAAGTGAAGTACAGATCGTGTCCAAGAAGTGTTGCCCTAAAAATACAGTCCTCTAACAGATATTTCACTACAAGAATTAGGTAACTTAAGGTGTAGCTATTTCAGTGATTACTTACACCACAATAAAGAAAGAAGGACTTTAAAGAGAATACCTTTTCTATAAAACAGCACAACGTTCACTTGAAAGGCTAACCACAAGCCAGGCTAGAGGAAGTTCAGGTCTGTTATAATAACATTCATGTGATCAATGACATACAATATGTAACCTAATCCTAATAAAAATAGTATTATTGCTATTAATGATGAGGCTCCTTTGTTGCACATAGCTGCTATTTACATAGCTTTAAGTCATCTTGGTACCACTATAATAGTAGTATATTTTATAGCTTGAAAATTGAAATTATTACATATAATGTCCTTAATAATGCTCACCAGCAAACAGTAAAGGATGTATTGTAAAGTACAGTATGTGCTAAGTTAGTAACTTTCACAAATTAGAAAAGGAACAAGTTTTTGCTGTAGCAGGTCAGATTAACTTCTGCCAGTATAAAGGATGGGTGTATATCCAGAGACCAAGAAAAGTGGGTGTATATGTAACTGAACTATCATTGAATTATATTCTTGGATCATTATCAGTGTTATGTGAAAAGTATCTAGGGAGTAACAGTGATCTATGAATACTTGTTATTGGGGAGAGCCTGAGTGAGCCCCACTCTATAGCAGTATCTGGAGACTATTCAGTAATCTATGAATACAATATGAGTCATTAGTATAATAACTGAATGTTTTGTATGAAGCATCAACAAAATGTATGACATAACTTAAGTTAATAGGCATTCATGTCATAAATTGTTATTATACTGAACTTATGAATGTTCAATGTTCATTTCATACTAACGTAGCTACATGAACATAACAATATTATCAATTTATAGTTAGCTATTATTGTTCACTCCCTTCTCCTCTAAGTTCTTTCTCCTTCTCTTCTCTCCTCCTCCTCCTCCTCCTCCTGGTTGTACTCTTCTCTTTGTCTTTGACTCAAGCTTTGCCAGATCAACTTCCTTCAGCAGTGTCTTTACACGTTTCTGAGGGGCTTTAATTAGAACATTAATAAACATTGATTTCTTACGTTTAAAAAGTTAATTCTCAGTTTTCTTTTAGTCTGTCTCTTGCTAGTCATTGGAGAGGGACGACCATCTATAAATAAATATTGGTAGAATTTAATCATTTTAGATGCAAGACAGTGATCTTTAATTGCAGTACTATACCACTATTATCAAAAAATTTCTGTAAAATTTCAAAC